AAGCTACAGTACGATTTTTTATATGATTTTTACCAATAAAGAAACAGAGATTATCTTTTAATTTTGCGAAAATATAATATTATAACGTCGATAAATGCTAGTGTTAATTTTCAGTAACCGTGGATCAAAACAATATACAACATAGTGTATATACAACATATTATGTAAATTACCTGTAACAAAACAGCCTCGCTCGGCGTTTTTTTTTAAATCGTGTTTTTTTGGAAATAACATAAAAAACTTTTTTTTCAGAAAAGCCTACCTACTTAGATAAACTTAAAAACCAAAACCTTATCTACATTCAAAATTTGATCCAAAACGTAAGAGTCGTTTTCGAGATACACGAAATTAATTAATAATATACCTATACAAGAATTGCTCATTTAAATATTATAAGTTATGCTTTTAATTAACTGACAGAAAATGGAGAAGGTTCTCATTTCGACACATATATTTTTTTTTATGTTTGACCATGCATAACTTTTTATTGTGTTAAACGATTTCGATGATTTTTTTTATGGGATAGGGTAGGTATACGTCAAAGTTGGTTTTATTTAAATTTGAAAAAAAGCCACCCTCAGTGTAGAAAATAGGGGATGATTGATTTTTCACCTACTGAGTTTTTAAAATACTTTCTTATTACTTTGCTACTACTATGTCTACACTAAAAATGGAAAAATAAAAACTTAACAAAATAGAGTTCTAAAAAAACAATAAAAAGTAAAAAGTAACTAATGGGTAGTTTTCATTTACTATAGATCCCTATTTGCTTTTATTTTTTTCCTTATTACTAGTAGTTATTATATTGTTTGAAATTTTACTAATGTGGCTTTAGAACTAAAAAAACCCTATAGAAGTACAATCTAGAGCTGTGGCTCCTTCTTTTAAAATTAAAACCGATAGGTTTTGATAAAAAAATCAAACTGGACTGGAGTTTATCAAATATGTTATAATAAGTATACATACTAAACTAACACTTTGCTTGTAATCAAATCATTGAAATCATTGATATCAAAATTTTATTTTATTTAACAATCTGAGCTCTAAAAATATTTCCTTTACACTGATATATTTTATCAAATACATTTGAATTTACTTCTAAGATACTTAAAATGAACATTAAAAATTCAGTCGTTAAAACAACAAACAAAACTAGCCATCAGTCTTTCGTTACAAAAGAAAACCCGTGTGTCTAACAGTTAAGTCCGTAATCTGAACACAGGAATCCGTGCGGGTCTATTTTTGAACTCCCCTCGGCGCGTGCGCAGCGAGAATTACAGAGTTTAATGCACTGAAAACGTACCGATGGATGTGGCTCCATGTAACAATAAAATATATTGGAGTGAAAAGCTGAAGTGCCTATGTTATGGTAAAAGATATTCAATAGCTGAATTTTATTGACGTCAAGATATTTTTATACAAATCTTAGAAGCATGTCTCTAAGAGTTTGTGAGTAGATACATTTAGTTGTTTCACGCTATTGCTCTTGCGATTAGATATTGAGAAAATTTAACAAAGTCGTTCCTATTGCCGTGTTTGCTATTTTTCAGATTGTTTTTTAACTAAAAATAAATAATGTGAGCTATGGTACATAAAAGTTAAATAGTAGTTGAAATTGCTTACTTAAGCTGTTTATCAAGACTTAACTAAATGAAATATTTTGCTATGTTTTACAGGAATCAAAGAAAAGATTGAATTGAAAAGATAATACACATTTTGTCATCAATACTGTCGTTATAATATTGGGTTTTGCTAGTATAAAATCAGATTTTGTTATATTCATACCCTAGAGTGATAACCACTGTTAGAAAAACTTTGTAGGGAAATGAGGAAAGTTACTTTCTGAATAATATGAATAAAATATTTCAAAAACATCATCAGGACAGATTTTTGATGAGGCTTTTACTTTTTCAATATTATTATTTACAATTTACTATATTTCTAAATTGTGTTTTAAACAGTCGACTTCGAGACTATTCAAAGTTGGAAAGCTGGAACTTCCGTTCTACTCGTTTGGTAACGATTGTGGACTTTAATATGAAAATACACTCACCGTTAAAGCACACGTAGTTAGTATAAAAAATATAGCACTATAAAAGTGAGGTTTGCAATTTAAATTATTACTCGCCTAAAATAAAATAGGTTCTCATAGACATAACATATTATTTATAGCAAAATCTTAATTTAGCATTTAAAAAATCCAGTTTTTAAAATAATGTACATGGCAATAATAGGTACATGGCAATTCGATGAAGTGTTTCTTTTCCAAGAACACACTATTTAACAGAGTAAATGTAGACTAACGAAAACTAATATAACTATTTCTATCATGCTCTAATATAATTTACTTAGTACCAAACGTATCCAAAACTAAGTGTGTTCTCTTAAAAAAGAAACTAATTTTATTTCAATTAACAAACTATTTGATTTTATTTTCCAGTAAAATGTCTCTAAAAATAAATATTAAATACTAAAATATCAATTGCTATCTAAGTCTATTTTATATATATACTTACACAAAGCGCATAAATAAAATTTCTTCCACTAGTTAATTTTTAAAATGAAATAGTAATTTTATTATAAAATATTACTATTACCTTATTAATTACTAACACATGTGCAAGTACATGCTTATTTAAAACTCTGTTATAGATGTTTATTTAACTCCACTCTGTTCTATCTTTACTCTGATACATATCTAATAGACTAATACTTAGCAAACTTTTTCTGCCTCAGTTGTCCAGTGGTTAACATGTACTGCTGCAGATCCGGAGGTCCTAGGTTTGAGCCCCGGGTCGGGACAAGTATAGTTATTGAGTCCTTCTGTCTCAGTAACAGCCCGGAGCTGTGAAATATGCGGTGTTACATCCCCATGCCTCGGAGTGCACGTAATGCTTAATATTAAAGTTTGATATTATAAAGATAATTAAAACAAAAGTTGTCACAAATTACAAATTTACTAAAACATACTTATTCTTATGGTGCTCATTATTCTAACCTTTCGCCTGTCACATTGGAGTCTCCCACAAGGTACAAAATATTTTCTAAAACGACATAAGTAAAATATTTGTTAAATAAAAACCAATTCTATTGTCGTAAAGTTAAGGTGCACATTTTGTAAAAAGACCATGGGTATAAACGGTATTATTGTATATAGGTTTTTTGTCTTAGACCCACGTGGTGCACCACATGTTTAGGAACATCGCATCCCACTACAATCCGGGAGATAACATGACTTAGATATGCTCAACATTCTCTTTAACCTTGGACTATAACATTTTTATAAAATTAACTAGTATGTATAACATAAAATAAACGGCAAAATAAATAACTAACTACCTGTTAATTATAGTGTGAAATAGCACATTATTTCTATCTATGCTTAATACCTTTCCAAATATTTTAGTAGAACAAATTTCAAACGTGAAAGAGCAGTAATAAACATTTTAATTATAATTATCATTAATTTGTTCTAAAAATTAAAGATGATTAACAAATTTGTAAGCTGCTAGATATGATCTATACTAATATTATTTCTACTAATATTATAAAGACGAAAGATTTATAATTTTTCTGTTTATTTATTTGTTTGTTTGTTTGCTTGTAGCGAATAGGCTTCGAAACTACTGAACCCATTTGGTAAAAACATAGTTTGAGACCCTGGGAAGGACATAGGATAGTTTTTCCCGAAAATCATCCCTTAAGGGGGTGAAAATGGGGATGAAAGTTTATATCGGGCAGCAACCTAGTGAAATACTCGTAATAATATTATTTTAGTCAATTTCATTTTAAAGTCAAAATCAAATAAGCATGAGTTAACCTTCAATAACTGACGATCCACACAAAGGCACAATAAAGTTAATGATAACAAAATAAAACACGACTGTAGTCAATGAATCAGAAATTCTCATGAAGATGATTCTGGGCCACATGTGACACACATTGCAGCATCCCTCAACGCACGTAACCTCTAAGGGAACGCTGAAAAAATTGGACCATCGCACAAAAAATTGCACCTCTATATTAAGGAGATAAAGTCTAAAGTGCTTTTTGTTTTAACTACAGCATGTACCGTTGATGAAATGACATTATTTTCTTTTAAGCAAAGCAAGTTCAATGACCTTATCAGTTAGCAATTTTGAAATTTATAATTAATTAAGTATGCGTAACTAAATATTATTCATCGTTAAATATAATTTTATATACCTAGTAACTAAAAGTAATAAAATATTTAAAAATAGAAAAAAACAAGAATTTATATATGTACATAATATGTAAACTTACTAAATCAATTCTTTTTATTAATGTACGTGTTAAACATTTGTTAAAAGATTTACATTAATTCCAAATTTGATTTGTTTAAATAAAACCATTAAAAATATAAATAAAAGTGGTAATTAATATAAAAAATAGACAGAATACAGATTACTATAATAGTTTCTAAAAAACTATGTGTTCAGTTTCACTTCTTCTTCTTCAGCCCTTTTTAACGTCTCACTGCTGGGCACGGGCCTCCCTTCAGTACGAGGGGAATCAGACTATAGTCCACTTACGCTGGCCAAGTGCTGGTTGGCGGACTTCACATGTCTTTTGAAAACTTGCTAGATTCTCTCAGACATACAGGTTTCCTCACGATATTTTCCTTCACCGTTAAGACAAGTGGTAATTATGTTGGAAATGATTCGCACATAAAAATATCAGAGGTGCGAGACCCGGGATTTGAACTCGCTTCACTCGGTTTCCGAAGTTAGCGCGTTACCACTGGGCTACCACTGCTACCTAACTAAAAAACTATAGGTATTTGTAATATTATCAATAGAAGAAATCTATAACGCACTAAGATAAAAATTCTGAGGATAAAAACATCTGTCAGTTCTCAATACTTATATATAATACACCTGTCAAATCATAGATAAGATAAACATTATTAACAATATGAAAATTTCCCTCATTCATTCTGTTGTTTAGTTTGTTAAGCTAGTTTTTGCGCAACACACGCCATGGCTACCATGTGGTTCTTTTTAAGTGTATCTAGTGTTCTCATAATTTGTGCTAAAGGTCAAGAGTTATCTTTACCTAGAGTCAATATAACTCAAGGAACTGTAGTTGGGTCAGTTAAGTCAGTAGCTGTAAATGAAAGTCATTTCGAATTCTATGGAATTCCTTATGCTGATTCCACCGCCGGTACTAACAGGTTCAAGGTACTTTTTTGTAAATATATTTATAATATTCCATATAACTGATTTATTAATATTTAAGGCTAAAGATTTTTAGTAATTTCTAAGAAATTAATTGTTTTAATATTTTTAGGCACCTACTGCTCCGCCAACTTTTGAAAGTGAATTCATAGCAAATCGTAAAGGTGTCAAATGTGTTAGAGCTTTAGGTGTTGGCTATGAAGGTACTGAAGATTGCTTAGTTGTAAATATCCTTACATCGAGCCTAGATAGTAATAAACGATTACCAGTGATGGTATGGCTACAAGGCAAAGAGTTAGACAACGCGCATGACCCAGATTTGTCTTTTAAAAAATTCATAGAAAAAGATGTCGTTATAGTGAACATAAACTACCGCGAATCAGTTTTAGGATTTTTATGCTTAGGTACTGAGGAAGCCCCGGGTAATGCTGGACTAAAAGATATTATCGCTGGATTAAAGTGGATTCAACAAAATATTGCCGCATTTGGTGGAGATCCAAACAATGTTAGTATATTTGGACATGGAAGTGGTGCATCTGCCATTGATTTAATTACCCTTTCTCCATCAGCAGAGGGTCTTATTCATAAAGCTATAGCACAAAGTGGAAACGCTCTAGCACCATGGGCTGTCACACGTAATAATATAAAATATGCCGTTCAAGTAGCGGAAGCTCTTGGCCACACGGTTCCTGATATAGAGACATTATCAAACGTTTTATCACGCACAAATGTAGCAGCACTCATGGCTGTTATAAATGAACTTGATCTAACAGATAATTCGTTAGCTTTTGCACCATGTATAGAAAGAAGTATTGAAAATGTTGAAGCTGTACTATTAACATCCCCATATAAAACTATTATGGAAGGTAAGCAACTGCAAATTCCATTCATGACTGGTTTTGTTGACTATGAGGGAACAGTTAGAGCAGATCGAGCTCTTAATGGTGATTGGTTAACAAGAATGGATGAATCTTTTGAAGATTTTCTGCAACCAGATTTACATTTTATAAATGAAGAACAAGAAAAGGAAGTGTCAGAAGCAATAAAAAGATTTTATTTCAAAAATGAATCCATAAATACAGATAACTTGAATGACTTTTTACGTTATAACGGTGACACAATGATATTAATATCAGCTATTAGAGAAGCTCGTATGAGAGCTGCTTTATCTGATGTTCCAGTATATTTATATCAATTTTCATACAGTGGTGCTCTTAGTGAAGTACTTGAAAGACCATTGCCAATTAAAAGCGCAGGTCATAAAGAGGAATTAATTTATATGTTCTACGACGAAAATAATTCCGAAGCAACCAGTTATGATTTGGTAGTTAGTGACATACTCGTAGAGCGGTGGACTAATTTCGCGAAAACCGGGTAAGAGTTTAATAATAATAATTAATAATTCCATGTTTTTATATTTGTAAATTAATATTAAAAACATTAATGTACATATTCTACTCAGATTTTATCTGCTAGATGTGCGTTTATTTAATATGTACATATTTTTATTTCAATCTTCTTTTTTATTTATTGATAAATACCTACGTTTATATACTATATCTGAATTTGTGAGAATATTTATTTCCTAAATAAATAAAATAATATATTATTTGATTGATTTAAATGATTGTTTTGTCTTATTTTCTATTAATATCGTTGTATTATTTTTTTAATGATTATATTTTTAATTATAGTGTGCCATCGAGTGTTACATCTCAAACCACATGGCAACCATACACTCAGAATAATACCTATTACCTACGAGTGCTTGATGATGAAGAAGTAAATGCGAATGGAATTTCTAATTTTGATATAGAACTTCAAAATCCGCATCCTGAGTTATTGGCTTTTTGGGATGATATTTATGCTAAGTACTTCAATGATGCAGAGAGCAAATGGAGTTTAGGTGATAGAAACGACGGCGATAATGACGACGGTGGAAATGACGATGAAGATGAAGATGATGATGAAGATGATAATGATGATGATAATGATGATGATAATGATGATGTACCTGATTCCGCATCCACTGCTGTAGGATATACATTTTCAATACTCGCTCTATTTGCAATGTTAGATAAGTTCCATATGTTCTAAATACTATCGTAAGGACTCAGTAGACTTTTGAGCTACTGTGTAAGTTCATTAATTATAGATAGTATAGGAAGTGGCCACCTAAGTTATTTAGATTTTTGTAGAAAATCTAATATAGTTTTGGGAAAGCTAATTAATTTTTATTAAATATTCATTTTTCATTGTTATTATCAAGCTAATTTAGGCAAGCAACATTATTTATAATATAATAATTTTAACAGTTAGTATGGGATAGATAGACTACATATTAGTATATATACAAAAAAAAATGTTTTCGAGTCTCTTACGAAAATATGTTAGTTAAACATATTTTAAGAGCCTCCAAAGCCCAGTTCAAATAAAAATTAAGAGGTCGCTCAAAATATTTAAAAATTTCCAAAATCGTTCAAAATTCTTTTTTTTTATATTTCAATTATTTTTTCTCATTATTTCACTATTTTCTACTATAAATTAGGATGCTGAAATTTTTAACTCGATATTTTATTATTTAAAGGAAGCACAAGACTTTTTTAAGTTTCCAAGTAGAGTACCTTAGACCTTTTCGAGCTTAATAGTAAAAATCGTCTCGAATTTTTTTTTTGCATCTGTCTAGCCTTATTTCTATTTTTTAGTTTGTCAACTTTAAGAAAAAAAATCGTTAATATTCATGTTCAGAAGTCGCTCGAAAAGGTCTAAAGTACCCTACTTGGAAATTTAAAAAATTTTTAAATGAAGTTAAAATATTAAAATATCAACTTCAAAATTTTAGAATCCTAATCATTTTTATAGTAGAAAATAGTGAAATAACGAGAAAAAAAAATTAAAAAAGCAATAGAAACAATTTTCAACGATTTCAGAAAATTGTTAAAATTTTGATTGTCCTCATAAATATTTTTTTGAAGGGGACTACGCTTTGAAGGGGCTCTTAAAACATGATAAACTAACACATTTTCGTAAGAGACTTTAAAAATAAATTTTTGGTCTACCCTAATATACATAGGTATATTAAGTTCATATCCTTTACATGAAAAATGATTCCCATATTTCGGGCATAAAAACTATCTTATGTCCTTTCCAGAGTGTCAAACTATCTTCATACAAAATTTCATCTAAATCAGTTCAGCAAATTTTTAATTTATCCATTACAAGCAAAACTATTTTTTTTCTCTCTATAATATTAGTACAGATTAAAAAAACGGCACATCAATCATCGATCTTGATCACACTAAGATATTTTTATCTGATCTTATCTGTTGAATAAGCGGATGTGTAATGTGTATATATCTGTACTTTTTCGAGAACATCCTATTTTTGTTTTCTAAATAAATAAATAAATGAGTTTTGCGTTTTATTTATTTTCTTTTAATATTAACAAATGAATCTAATGCAAACGAAGAGATTTAAAAACAGTCGATTTTACTTAAGTATTGTATTAACCAAATATAATTTGAAAACTGCAATCTTCCATGGTTTTAATGTAACTTGGAAAAGTTAAAATGCATTTGTGTTGATCTATAGTCTATACATAGGTAATAAAATTCTAACTGAAATATATCTGATGAAATATTTTTTGTTATCGAAATAATCATTATTATCGATAAAGAAGCCGAACCTGGACTTTCTAGAATTTTTGCGTGTCTGTCAGTCTGGGAACCCATCACGAGGAAACGACTGGACAGATTTTGAAGAATTTTGGTATGATCATAGTTGTTTATAAGGGTCAACATATAGGATACTTTTTTCTATTACTGAGAAATCTATACCAAACGTTAAAACTTAAAACTTAACTAAGGACGAACCCGAGCGGAGCGAGGGTGAGTCGCTAGTTACTAATAGAATTTGAAATAAAGGTTGAAGTTCATTCGATAACATGAATACATTGCAAGGTGCTTATTAAAGTTTACAATTATTATATACTAGCATTGCCCGCGGCTCCGCCCGCGTTCAGATGTCCAAAAACCAAATTCTTAGGTTTTACAAATTAGTATACCCTTACAATGCAGTTTTTGTATTTTTTCTCAGAAATGAGACCTTTTACCGCGGTAAAAAGTATCCTATATGTTGACACGGATAACCAGCTATCACCATACCAAATTTCATCAAAATCCCTTTAGTGGCTTTTCTGTGATGCGGTAACAGACAGACAGATAGACAAAAAATCTAAAAACTATAGATTTGGCCTCTGTACTGATAATAATGCTTATTTCAATAAGATTTTCCAAAAAATATTTAATGTACAGATTCGGTTTAGTTACAATTTTATTATATGTACTTATAGATGAGTACATTAGCTGCTCTAAAGTAATTTAATTTGCCTAAAAATACAAAAACTATACAGATAGAATAAATCATATTATGTAACTAATCGTAATATTAACTTAAACATATTCTACTTACTTAATCTTTGTAACTTTTAACTTAGTCTATGTACGTACTTACGTCATATTTATCGGAATTTATAAAACTTTTAAGTTTCTACATATGAAAGTTCTGAAGTGAAGTTGCGTGTTAAATAGCAGTGCATGAAAGTTCAGAGGGTTACAGCTGTATCAACCACAAAGGTCAGGCACGCATGCTTCTATGCATTTCTAGATGGCGGTTATTCTTAGATTAAAAGTTAATCAATTTAATTCTGGAATGATTATATTTATATTATATTTGTAGCAAAATGGTAAACTAAAAATAAAATATTATAAAATTGCTAAATTGGTACCGGTAATTAGTTAAAGAAAGAGGTTTGTTCTTTACGCTGTAACGGCTCAACGGGTTTGAGCGAAATTTGGAACGGGGATATCACGTATCCTAGATTAATATAAAGGTTAGATTTCATCAACCTAATTATCACGCGAGCGATGCCACAGGCAAAATTTAGTCTATACATATAATAAAATTGTAACCAAGCCGAATCTGTACATTAAATATTTTTTGGAAAACCTTATTGAAATAAACATTAATATCGATACAGAGGCAGAATCTATAGTTTTTAGAATTTTTGTCTGTCTGTCTGTCACAGAAAAACCACTGAAGGGATTTTGATGAAATTTGGTATGGTGATAGCTGGTTATCCGGGTCAACATATAGGATACTTTTTACCCTAGGAAAATATGTCATCTCTGAGAAAAAAATACTAAAACTGCAATGTAAGAGTATACTAATATGTAAAACCTAAGAATTGGGTTTTTCGTCATCTGAACGCGAGCGGAGCCGCGGGAAATGCTAATAGTTAATAAAATCGGTCTTAAACAAGTCAAACTTACGTTCTTACTTATTATTATTTGGGTCAATTACCTAACGAATAATAAAAAAACTGCTGTAAAACAATAATGTAAGAGAAATCTAGAAGAAGGTTGTAAGGTCTTTTAATTATAATTATACCTAATGTAGGAACACTTTTATAGATGGCAAGAAGCGATAAAATTGCGCATTATATTACGAGATCCTAAAGTAAAATAACAAATAACAAAAACTAGCTCAGTCTAAGTCAAGCTTATCCTAAAGATTCCACTACTGTTTAATACAAGGCATTATTTTATTGGTAAATAAGTAAAACAAGTAGCCTATCATCAAACTACGCGTTTCCATATAAGGATAAATATTTTGGTGTGGCTATATTTAAATATAAAAATATATTATGTATATAAGTGCAAAGACACAGGCAATAACTAGTTTATGGATATAATAATAACACTGTAATTTAATATGGATACATAAAGCAATCATAAAACAATACACATCGATTTTAATAATCGTCCATTAGATTTGTTTATCCAAGACGCCGATGTTGACCGTAAAACAGTATAAGGGAAGCCGTAAAAACTGCAAAATTGCACATTTAATATACCATAGGGCTGCAGCTGCATTTAATCGTAAATTAACGATTAAACAAACTTGAGTTGTGCTTTAAGATTTATGAATGATGATTTTTTCAGTACTTTAATTTTCTGGGTATAAGAAAATGAATTCTTATAAAATAAAGACTTTCCAAGCTATTGTATATATTACGATATACTCGTAGTCCAGATAATCAAATTATAGATAACTTCAAAACAATGACGATTACAGTCTGTGTTAAATTTCCTAAGATTTTTGTAAACAACTGCTGATATTTTTTTATTTTATCTACATAAAAAAATAATAAATATTATCATGTACTAGGATCGTGGAGCTGTTACGAATCTTTGTAATAGACATACATACATTAGATTAGACTAAGAGGTAAAAAAAACCTTATTTTTATATTCTTACTAGATAATAAATATATATTAGTGAATTAAATAAAACTATCTTTTCGGATTATTTCGCGGATTTATTTTGATTTTTGGTTCCCGACGTTTCGAATGCTTTACAGCATCCATGGTCACGGGAGAGACTGAGGTGTTACATGTCTTAAAGATATAGTTGTTACAGACAGCCTACCCACAATTAACAAAATGAAAATTGCACCAATTACATTACAATATTTTTAACTTTAAACATTTTTATAATTTTAATTATAATTGAATATGGAAAATTATTTATTTAATTTTTGCTATTATTTTTATAATTATTACAATTTGAAAAATATTAATTAGTAATCTATATTTAGTGTTGCCATTATTACAACATCAACATCACGCATCATGCAACATCTGCTGTCTGCAAACATAGCCAGGACCGCCCAAGCCATTATATTCGTTTCGATAGACCTCAAATCCTGGCGAAAGAAAACCGATATCGCCCTAGAATGATTCGAGAAGCCATAGAAATTAAAAAACATCCAAATTTCAATAGGGAAGATGGCTGGGTACTACCATCGTCATGGGATCCTGTTATTAATATAATAAAATCAAATAATAAATATAAACATAACAGACAGGCAGATGTAGTAAGTTCACACTGTGTAGATCAAAATGACAGCTTATCAGATTAATATTTTTCATTTGTAAAAGTATATATTAATAGTGTTGCTTAGTAAGTTGTTTTTAAATAATAGCAAACTAAATTAAAATTATTATCAATAATTAATTTTAACTTTTTTAAAT